CACTGAAATGGATTGAGGAAAATTTAAATCTGCTGCTTGGAAAGTTATTAGCAGAAGAGGAACTGGAACAGTCTGTTAGTAGTCCTAAGAAAACTGCCTCAATTCATATTCTGAAAGTAAATTTTGCAGCCACAAAGGTAAACACAAAACCTTATTTCTGTGGAAACTCATTGATTTGGAATTCTTACACTAGTCAGGGAAAGTTTTTATTTTGCCACTGGTGAGGAATTTTCAATCCTAGTACTAAATATAGGCTATGACTCTAGGTCTTTTAAGTCTTATTATATTTCTCCTTTAATGTTAGGTTTCAGGGTTAATGCCTCACTGAGATGAATGAGATACCTCAGAGATGCTATTTCAATCTGCAGACTTACACATGGTTCACATTCAGAAGGTTTTCTTTCCATGTGGAAAAGGAAGGATGTTTGGAGTTTGGTTTTGTTGGGGGTGGGGGAGAGGTACGTTTTTATTTTTATTTATTTAATTAAAAGTGAAGCTTGAAATTCTACAGAAATCAATTAAGTCAAGATAGTACAAAGAGTGAGATCAATGATCAGTAGTGCCAGAACAGTGCTATCAAGTACCAGCTTAAAACAACCCATGGATAAAGGTGATCAGAACACACGTGCAGAGTTTTATTCATCTATTGGACTAGGAAAATTTTGAACACCACATTAGTTTTTCATTACCATAGTAAGGTCAGGCAAGTAGATTTTGTAGCTTGGAATGGTACATTCTCATGACAGTTTTACAAGTTTAGACTAGACTTCTGAAGCTCAATGCTACTCACTAGGTCATCCAGAAATAATTCCTTCAGCGGAAACACTATTTGCTGAAGAAGAAGAAGATACAGCATTGGCCATACCCATTCCTTCCCCACTACGAAAACAGAAGAGTGTAAGTAGACAAATTAGCTATAGTTACGTAAAATTCTTAGCTGGAGACTGTGGAAGCTAGGCTTGAGATCCCTCCTCTCCCCTCCCCAGACCTCCTGGCAGCCACTCCGCAGGAGCAGGGTCTCACTTTCAAAGACTCAAATGGTTTAGCCAGGCAAAGTGGGATGCTTGGGGTTCAGAGAAAATGTGGAGGCAACAAGGCTAAAAATACATATATACATACATATACATATATACATACATACATATATACATACATACACACACACACAGATTCTTAAGACTGTTCATCCTGAACATCAAACAGAGCTAAATACATGGAGAAGGGGAAACTAGATTCAGTTTCAACACGAGCAAAGGTGTTTAGCCCTTGAAGTTAGGAATGTCTTTTAGCGTAGTATGGAACGCACCAGAACTCATTGAATGGCTTCAAATAATTTGACATAGTTAAAGCAGGTGGTGAGAATTTTAGTGGCAATATGCTGGATAGACTTTATGAGAACGTAGAGAAATAGGTGGGCAGAGAGGAAGCAGCTGGTTTGTTCCCTTACAAGTTAGGGAGTCTATCAGTTGCCTTGTGCATACTGGAACAATTTTGTATGCTACTGACTGAATCCAATTCACAATTTACTTAAATATATTAGTTGGAATATCTGAACTCAGACATCTACATGATATTCAACATGCTGCAGTTCATCTGTATGACAACTTGCTAAAAATATTAGTTGCCCCTTCCTTCATTCCAGAAGTTAGTTCAATGTGTATATAAAAATTACACTAGGAGGGACAAAAGACTTCCCTTTTATCATAAGTCTAATATAAATTTTCCTGCCACTGTCAGCAAGAAACTCCAGCGGAGATACTGGTAAACCTCACCACTCCTATTACCTTCAATACTAAAGTGAACAGAGGAGATGACAATCTAAACAGCCACTCCTCTAGAAGCTTTCAGGGAGCAGATATTGAGATATCAGTGTCAGGTATGCCCTAGTCTCTGATCTATTGGGTCCATTTCCACATTCCCACTTTTGCTAGCTATATGCATTAGGCAGCATCCTGCTAACAGATAACATGATGAAGATCAACAAGAACAATCGCCAAATCCTTATTAAAAAAAAAATCTTCCTAGAGGATCTCCCAGTCGATCGCCATCTCTGGCAGCGCAGCGGGGCTGCCACTAAGACAGGCTCTCTGCCTGCCCTGGCCCCACACCACTGCTGGAAGCAGCCAACGTGCCCCACAGCCCTGGGGAGCAGGGGTCTTCCACCACGCACTGCTCCTGCCTGCAAGCACCACCCCCGCAGCTCCCATTGGCCGGGAACAGGGAGCTGTGGCCAATGGGAGCTGCGGGGGCAGTGCTTGCAGAGAGGGGCAGCGTGTGGACCCACGTGCTGTCCGCCGCCCGCCTGCCCCCACCCCGGGAACGCAGGGGCACATTGGCCCCTTCCGGGATCGGCGAGGGGCCAGGGTAGGCAGGGAGCCTGCCTTAGTGGCAGCCACGCTATACCACCAACCAGGAGCCACCAGCGGTAAGTGCTGCCCAGCAGGAGGCCACACCCCAACCCCAGAGCCAGCACCCCAAACCCCCTCGTGTACCCCAAGCCTCAGCCCTGACCCCCCCTCCCAGAGCCAACACCCCAAACCACCTTCTTGCACCCCAAACACTGCCCCAGCCCTGATGCCCCCTCCCAGAGCCAGCACCCTACTGCACCCCAACACTCTGCCCCAGCCCAGAGCCTCCTCCTGTACCCAAACTCCCTCCCAGAGCTTGCACCCCTCCTGCACCCCAACCCCCTACCCCAGGCTCAGCTCAGAACCCCCTCCCACACTGCAAACCCCTTGACCCCAGCCCAGAGCCCACACCCCCTCTCAAGCCCCAACCCTCTAAACCAGTCCGGTGAGGGTGAGTGAGTGACAGAGAGGGGGGACGGATGAGTGGAGTGGGGCTTTGGGGAAGGGGCGGGGTAGATTCTGAGTTGCCCTTAAATTCAAAAAGTGATCTTGGGCGTAAAAAGGTTGAAGACCACTGCTTTAACAGATGGTCAATATGCTCTAAGGCAGAAGTTCTCAAACTGTGGACCATGTACCACCAGTGGTCTGCAAGCTCCATTCAGGTGGTCCGCAGATATTTCCCTCTAAGGTGCATGCCTGGGCAGCCGCACACAAGAGACTGAAAGGCCACCTGCCTAATTAGTGGAGCCGCACAGGTGTGGCTCCACTAATTAGGTGGGTGGACCCTGGAGAAGATGCACATGTAAGGTGGTGGCCTTGAGGGAAATATGGGGTAGGTGGGAGGGGGCAATGTGGTGAGAAGAGAGGGTGGGGGGAATTTGGGATGTGCAGGGCTGCGGCGGCCAGAGAAAGAGGCAACTTTCCCCAGCTCCAGGGCTGCAGCTGTTGGGGAGAGATGGCCCTCCTTCCCAGCCTCAGCTCTGTAGCTGGAGAGAGATCCCCCTCCTTCCCAGCCCCAGCTCAGGGGCTGACACGGCAGGGGAGAGAAGGCACATCCATCACATTAGAAAGGTAAGACTACTGATATTAAAATATGAGTTGTGTGCTTCTATTTCTAGAACAAAAAAGTTAGTTTATTTTTATATAGCGCTTTTATCCAAAGCGCTTTACAATAATTAGCTAACAGTACAAACAACATTTGGAAAGATCATTAAGTGGTCCGCAGAGACCCTCAGCAATTTTCAAGTGATCTGCAAAAAAAAAAAAAAGTTTGAGAACCACTGCTAAGGCTAGAAGAGGACGAGAATAAAGGAAAGGGGGGGAGGAGTAATATTGGCAGCCAGGACCACACCGGGAAAGAAATTTCCCCAGTCCAGCACGAATAAGTCAGCCCCCTTAATTTTCAAAAGATGCTTACCATCAAAACAAATGCTGATAACTACCCACTTCAGTCATCTCATACATGAAAATGTGAGACAAAAACCAATCTAACTAGGAACAGGAGGCAGTTAAAAGGAGTATCAATCTCGCTATCCCACTTCACAATGTAAAATTAAAAAAAAAAAGTTTAAAATTAATAAGACCTACGCCAGTTCCACTAGAATATCACCTCACCCTTACATGGCATTTTCAGCCATATTGGCCATCTTAAATCCCCCACTTAAATTTATACAGGGACGGAGAAAAAGGACACTGATTTCTTTTTGAATAAACTAATCTCAATCACTCTCTCAAGGGACATTAACCAATAGATAAGCATGACAAACTCTCCACACACTTCACTGGAGACCACAAGAGCTGCCTCTTCCAGCATCTTGAGAAATGGTTTCCTAATACAGCTCTGCAAACTGATTTGTATTAGTATGTTGTAAGAGAAGATAGTCAAGAAATTCATCAATGCACCCCCTAAGGCTTAAGTTGTCTGTTCTTGGCTGTTTAATAGCTTTTCTGTCAAGAAGTGCAATCTGTCCCTTCCCACACAATAAGTTTTCTGTATTTTGCATGATTGCATGTTATTTACCTTTACAGCTTCTAGTTCTCCCCCTTCCCCCCGCAACTCTGATCGTCCTCAGGCCACAGTAAGTGCCCAAGCACAGCCAGAAGCAAGACAGGGTTTGGACGCTTCCACTGCGAGAGATGCCACTTCTGCTGCACAACATCATAATAATGCTGCTGACAAGCCCTGTACATGGTGGCCAGGGCCCAGCCGGGACCCCTAAACAGCCTCTACCCGCCCACCCGGCTAACAAGAAGCTGCAGCGCCGACGCTGCAGGGGCTCTGGACGCAGATTTTGTGCGTTATGGACACGGGCCGACCACAATCTCCAGCCGTGCTGACGGCCTGAATGAGGGAGATGCTGAGAGAGCCTCTCACGGACACAGCGGAACACGCCCTCGCCAGAGGGAAGACAGATGGCAAGCGCCACCCTCCTCCAAAGCCGCCACCTCAGGGGGGCAACCCCAGCTCCCACCGGGGGGAGGCGCTACGAGACGTGGGGCACGACTTGCCCCGCCCAACAAATAGCAGCAGCAGCTCCGTGGGGCGCTAACCCAGCCCCTGGCAACCTGTAAACTCTGCCCCACCTCCCCACAACTGGGGCGCCGGCCGGCCGGCCGGCACCAGAGCCCGCCCCGGGAGCCAGGGTGACTTACCCAGCAGCAGGACGTTTTTCCCCGAAGGCAGTTTAGACCTGGAGCGTGTGGACACCTCGCTGAGGATACAGGACCTGAGGGGAGACAGAGCCCGGTCAGGCCAGCCCCCCAACACACAGGCACGGGGATGGGCGGGGGCGCGCACTAGGGGGATGGGGCCGGGGGCGCCTGCCGCTGACAAGAGCAGCCCCCCCTCGTTACTTGGCCCCACAGGGGGGCCCGCGAAGGGAGTTGTGTCGTGTTCCCCCCTCCTCCTCCTCCCCCCGGGCGGAGGCTCTCGCGGGGCGGGGGCGCTAGACGGTAACGGGCGGCGGCCCGGCGGGCTGGGCGGTTACCAGAGGTTCTGCCCATCGTCCTCCTCGCCCCCCGCCCGCAGCTCCGCGTTATTGCTGGCGGTGAAGCCGGCGGCCGCGCCGAGCCCCGGCGAGGAGGAAGAGGAACCGAAGGAGCCGGCTCGCCCCGCCGCCGCCGCCATCTTCCCTGCGCTCCCTCCAGTCCGCCTCAATGAGAGAGAACAGAGAGCGGGCGGCGGCGCGGCCGGCTGACAGGTACCCGGATGTTGGGAGCTCGGAAGGGGGCGGGACCAAGAGGGGGCGGGGCCGGTACCCGCCTGTGGGGCAGAGCGTGCGGCCGGGCGCCCAGTCACGCCTGGCGTAGAACCCACAGTAACGCGCCCACGTGCCTCCGGGATTATCCAAGTGATGGGGAGGATTTTTTGCGCGCCCCAGGCAAGTGGCTGGCTGGCTCACCCAGCATCCCACACACCTGATTTAGGATGACCAGATAGCAAGTGTGAAAAATCAGGAATGAGACAGGAGGCAATAGGTGTATATGTAAGACAAAGCCCCAACTATCAGGACTGTCCCAATAAAATGGGAACATCTGGGCACCCTAACCACACCTAGGGCTGTTACCCACTCTCCCTGGGAGAGAGATGCGGGGAAGGGGAGGCAATTTCCTTTCCGTCACCACAAGTCCCCCGTGTGAGCTGTTCTCAGGCCACACTATCTATTAAGAAGATAGTCATGGGAGAGGCCAACGAAGAAGGCAAGATCTAGAAAAAAAAATCCCTCTCTTTAAATCATAGTCCCCAATTGCATCCCATTGATTCAGAATGATTGTCATTGTTATTTACTATGTACAATGTGCTACACATTCTCCAAACGTAACACACTTAACACACTGCCTGTCCTGAAGAAAACACGCGTACTTCTAAGATGACAAAGTCTGGGAAAGACCTAAAACATACAATTTTTAAAATGCGCTCTCCCCAGCTGGCCCACTGTTTATCCACTATGATAGTGCTCAAAACAGCCACCCATTATTCCTCCTCACCTCTTTGCCCCTAGTTTTATAGAAATCTGGAACGCCAGCAAAACAGAACAAAGTATAGAAGCATAGATAATTTCATGGAGGAGAGGTCCATCAATGACTACTAGCCAAATTGGTCAGAGATGCAACCCCATCCTCTGGGTGTCCTTAAACCTCTGACTGCCAGAAGCTGGGCCTGGGTGACAGGATGGATCACTCGACTGCTCATTCCCTCTGAAGCATCTGGCACTGCCCACTGTCTGAAGACAGGACACTGGGCTAGATAGACCATTGGTCTGACCCAGTATGGCCAGTCTTATGTTCTTGTAAATAAACATTCTTAAATTAATTAAGGGGTTTAATGAATACAGGTTTTCTCAGTGTCATGAGCATCTTTGAGCAAGGGAAAATTTAATTTATTTGGGGGATATTTCCCAGTTTTCATCAGACCCCCATAAATAACATGGATATTTCCTGAGTTTCCCCATTTCCTCAGATATAAAAAGGTTGTGGGTTTTTTTTTTGCATGGATAATGTATTAATGTTCAATACACCTCACCCCCACCCTAGTGTATATATTCATACATGCCAATCTATTTAAAAGTGACAGTTCCCTTTTCAGAAATATATTTATAATTTTTGCACTTTTCCCTCTAAAAAAGCTATTTCTGTCCTGTGCTTTTCTATTGAATTAAAATATGTGCTTATTTTTATACTCAAATGTTCCTATCAATAGCTTTCCAATGCTCTGCAACCCCACCTCTGACTGACCATTCCTTTATACACTGTTATGAGGGAGGTTGGGTGAAACATTGTTGAAGCTGGTGAACATCATAGGCATCCTTCATTCAGGATAAATGCAAGTAGTTACGTATTTTTGGTGTAAAATAACTAAAACAATAGGAGCCACCACCCAAAACACAGACCCACAAGACCAGACTGGTTAAAAGTAGAGCCATGTGGGAGGAAGGGTTTTGCTGGGTACTGAATATAAACACAGGGAGTTTGGCATTGTTTAGTGGAAGTTTGTCTGAAGGCTGGTCTACCTTTAAAACACTGCATCGGCCCAGCTTCACCGATGCAGCTGTGCTGCTGTAGCGCTTTAATGAAGATGCTCTACACCGACGGGAAAGTGCTCTCCCTTCGGTGTAGTTAATCCACCTCCATGAGAGGCAGTAGCTATGTCAGTGGGAGAAGCCCTCCCACCGACATAGCACTGTCTACACCAGCACCTAGGTCAGTATAACTATGTCACTCGGGGGTGTGGATTTTTCACACCCCTAGGCGACATAGTTATACCAAAGTAATTATGTAGTGTAGAGCTGCCCAGAGAGAAGCAGCAGCCAGGGAATAGGCAGAAAGAAGCAAGCAAGGAAACAGCAAGAAAAGCACTTGCAGTGTGACCTTAAGAAAAAACCCTGAGAGAGAGCTTTTGGGGCAGGGCGCTGGCTGGAAAGAGGCTTGGAACGGTGAGCTAAGAAGCTCTCCTGTTGTTTGATTCCTACTGTCTACAAGGAAAAAAGGACTTTGTGTACATCCTTTGTAAATGAACAGGATTGCATCAAATAAATACCTTATTCTATCATCAATATCTCCTGCTAACAGAAACAACCTGCCAATTCTGAATATTGGTTAACTGTTTGGATTGCAAGGAGCAACAATATTTTAATATGATTTGCATTTCATTTAATAAATATATGACAACCTTATGTTTATCTCTGTCTGCAGCTTTGATGGCATTTTTCTATATAGGTTTTTATACTATGCTCATAACTGTAGTGTCTGAGTGCCTTCCAGCAGTGAATTAGGCATCATGACTACACATCTGTCATGTGTTGTTTGTTCTCTCATTGTCTCCCCAGAGGGAGAAGTGTGTGCAGTGAAGTGTCTTTTTTTGGTAGTGGTGTCTTTATATATGTGACACTAAGCACTCCCTGTATTCACACCCTACACACAATTGTACTGATCTTTGTACAAAATATGCCTTGTGAGGTATCATTTGAAAACTAATAACTCATTGATCATTAATACTGTTGTGTGATGTATGTACGCAGTAAGCATTAAGAGTTTTGAACATATACTTGAATTATGACTAAAGTGTATGTAAACCAGGTATGTCAGAAGGAGCTGTTAAACAGAGTATCCTAAAGAAAGGAATTTGTGTTTACCTCAGGTTACATATAAGCAGTAAACAGGATCATCAAGATATCAGCGGGAGAAGATGTCAGGAAACAACATTTTACATTT